TCTGCTGGCGTGGAAGCTCTTCGAGAGGAGAAGAAGACGAAGAGGAGCTGCTCAGAAGATGAGGAAGGATGACTTTCGGCTGATTTCAGTGCTGGTTCTGGAGGCAGAGCTGATGAAGATGCAGAAGAGGGAGGACAACAACAACAACAGCAACAACAACACTGTCAACCTGGAAACAGCCGCCAATGTCGAAGCAGAGAGCACTACTGAAGAAGTCACGACACTTTGAAACAGTCACCTCATTTTTTTACAAACAAGTTTTACTACTAAATTATACAGCATTTGTTGTGGTTTTCATAACTTATATTAACGATTATCTGTGGGAGGAAAAAGAGAGAGGCTCATGAAAAAGTTGTTTAGTGGTTGAAAATGCAAGTAATGTTCAGCTCCAGTTCTGATTAATCCTTGACGCCAGCCAGCAGCTTCTCCAGCGAGCTGAAGCGGTATGATCCGAATGTAAAGGTCACCTCCTTCTCCAGCACAACCTCTTCAGTCACAGAGAGCTTCAGCGCCATCAGTCCTCGAGTCAGCTCCCGTCCACAGGCCTGGTACTTTGCCAGACGATCGCTCAAGGAACTGAAAATGCTGCAGCTATGATCACTGCAGCTGTCCTGCTTAAAGTGGACCTTAATCCGGCGCAACCCCGGGAAGCAGTGTGCCAGGTGAAACTGCTCCACAACGTCGGTGTGCACTGAGGTGCTGAGGGCCAGGGAGAAGAAACGCACCGAGGGGAGGACGCGCATTTCGGAGCGAGGCCAAACACGGCTGAGACCGTCGCCGTAGAGGGGATTCTGCAGGCAGTCCACTGAGAGGACGCGCAGGTGCTCCAGCTTGGAGAAAGCGGTGAGGATGATCTGGTACCCATTGGCTCCGTCGCCATGGCGGCCAATCGTCAGATTGATCTTTTGCAAGTGGCACATGCACATCAGAGCGCCAAAGAAGCTCTTCAGCACGGATCGAATGTAGGCCACATTCTCCTGTTGTGGGTTGCTGATGTCCCACCCGATTTGCAGATCAAGGTAGGTAATGTAGGAGAGCAGTGAGGGCACCATGGGCACAGCCTTAACCGTCGACATCTCCTTGAAGAGCTGCAGGCCAAAACGAGCCCCCTCACCGGGCGTCAGGGTCGGATGGGCGGTAAGCCCTGCCGGTGGACGGGTGAACTCTCGAATTAGTCCAAGCAGTGCGGGCATTGACTGCCGAGAGAAGAAGCTGAAGGAGGTCAGCTGCTGGAGAATGGGCAACTGCGGCGCGACGTTCAGCTCGTGCTGTGGTACGAAGCGATTCAGTATGTTCAGCGTCAGGTGTCGAAGGGCGGGATGGCGCAGTCGGTAGAGCAGAGGCGCCCAGAAGTTGTAACACGCGCGCTTGGTTGTGAATCGCAAGTCCATAAAGTCGTAAAACTCGGGATACAGCTTCAGAGAAGTCAGCAGTGGCAGCGATGCGGGGCTCAGCTGGCCGAGCAGCTGCTCCCATTCAGTTCCATTGAGACGAGTGGCTACTTCGAGCAGGCGGAGATTGGCGAAGGTCTCAGTAAACTTGCGCGTAAATGTAAGCAGAGGGGCGCCGTTTCGGCTTTTTGAAAATGGCAGCCTAACGGGCGTCAGCTTCACTTCGGGAACCTCCTCTTCCACGGCGTCACGAGCGGCAGGGTTGATGTTACGCATAAAAACGGTCTTCTGCTGCTCCAGCCCGTTCAGTTTGCCTCTGGTGATCACCAGCGCCTTCGTCGTCTTCTGCGACTCCTCAAAGTGGGCGTACAGTCGACGACAGGCGCGGCCAAGATGAAGGGCGTCAGGCAGTGACAGACGGCTGAAGATTTGCTGCAGACAGTCGCTATTGTAGCTGGCCAGGATGGAGTCGGCCTGAAAGGCGGTCAGCCAGCTGCTCGTGTCCATTAGTTCTTCCAATTGCAGCAAACGGAAACATTTATTTATATCAATCTCAGGTAAATCTTCAAATCTGAAATGACAATCACCGCCTCTTTTGTTGCGAGACATCTTTCAAGTTGGTCAACACTTCTCGGCGAAAGTAGAGGAGAATTCAGCCTTGACGAGAGATCAAAGCAACAAAAAGCACAGAAGTGCGAGCAAACACGTGCTCACTTCTGTGAGCTCAACCGTTTTCGATTCGAAAATGTTTACGCAGCACACTTTCCTCCTTTCTGGGCAGTGCCGGAAATCTTTTGTTCACCTGTTTTTTCGGCGACTTGTCTTGCTTCACCGCTTTTTCTGGTACATCAACAATCACTTTAGTTGGCTGGATTTTCCTTATCAGGTCTGGTGATACACGTCTTCCTCTTCTAGAGTATTCTTAGTCTGGTCACAACCTTCCGAAACAAGCACACCTGAGCACAGAGAGCCAAAAAACCATGGCCGTGTCCGATGCCGTCCTCATTGTCTTCATCTCCATCTTTACCGCCCTGCTTGGAGAAGGTAATTTAGGTTTAGTCCGAAGATTTACTTAAAAATCTCAAAATCTTTACCCTTTCTCTTTTCAGGGCTTACCTGGTTGCTCGTCTACCGAACGGAGAAGTACAAGAAGCTGAAGAACGAGGTGGAGAAGCAGTGCAAGAAGTGTGAGTGCTGATTTTTGTAGTTTTTTGTTGATGTTGTGGACTGAACTAAATCTCTTCCTTTTTGCAGTGGAGAAGAAAAAGGAGGTGATGGGCGAGACGAATGACAAGCAGCAGAAGAAGAAGCTGGAGCGGGAGGAGGAGAAGCTGAAGAACCACAACCGCGACCTGTCGATGGTCAAGATNAATGAAGTGGAGAAGCAGTGCAAGAAGTGTGAGTGCTGCTTTTTGTGGTTTTTTGTTGATGTGGACCGAACTAATCTTTCTTTTTTTTGCAGTGGAGAAGAAGAAGGAGGTGATGGGCGAGACGAATGACAAGCAGCAGAAGAAGAAACTTGAGCGGGAGGAGGAGAAGCTAAAGAACCACAACCGCGACCTGTCGATGGTCAAGATGAAGTCGATGTTCGCAATCGGTTTTGCCTTCACCGCCCTCCTCTCCATGTTCAACAACATGTAAGAAAAAGAGAGATTTCTTTTTCAGAGATCATACCAATTTCTAAATCATTCCCTCAAACAGTTTCGACGGACGAGTGGTCGCCAAGCTGCCCTTCACGCCGATCGGCCTCATCCAGGGCTTGTCCCATCGGAACCTCGCCGGCGCCGACTTTACCGACTGCTCCTTTATCTTCCTCTACATTCTCTGCACCATGTCCATTCGCCAGGTAAACCATAGAACAACCAAATCTAGTCTTTAACTTCTAAAACATCATTTTCACCTCTATTGCAGAACATCCAAAAGATTCTCGGCTTTGCGCCCTCGCGGGCGGCCAACAACCAGGCAAATCCCTTTGCGCCAATGGCCGCCAGATAGAGAAAACTACATCTCACAAAATTCTTCCATCCTCGTCAGTCTTCCTCGCCAGCCTATCCATAGCAACAGAAGTTATACCGCTGTAGCTAGTCTTGAAGCTGCTTCGCTTACTACTACTATAACATTACTTATTTATACACACTTGATGCCTACAAAAAAAGTAAAACCTCGAAGCCTAAAGATCCTCATCATCATCATCAACAAGAACAAGCTCACTAAACACAGTTATCCAGCGCCAGCGGCCTATTGCTAAGCACCCGCTGCCAGTCGTACCGACTGAGGTCGATGGTTTTGTACTCGTCGTAGATGATCTGCTCCATGATGGCCCGCCCGATCGCCGGGCCCATCTGCAGCCCGTGGCCGCTGAAGCCAGTGGCCCAGAAGAAGTTGCGGTAGTAGGGGTCCCGGCCTATGATCGGGTGCTGGTCGAGGCGGTTGTAGTCGTAGAAGCCCGCCCAGCCGCCCTTCAGCTTGATCGCCTCAAAGGCGGGCACGCGGGCCGCCAGCAGCGGGTGCACCTCACTTTCGAAGTAGCTGTAGTCGACGTCGAGGTTGTCCACGTCGGGCTCCTCTTCAGGGGCCGGGGAGCGGCCGCAGATGAAGTTGCCGCCGAGGCCCTCGCGGCGGCAGTAGGCACCGGTGCTGTCGATGAGGAAGGGAAAGTCGAGGCCGGGCCCGTCGCGGCAGTTGAAGACGTAGACGTAGCGCTTTCTGTGGAGGGGAGAGAGAGTTTTAGAAAAGGTAAACAAATCAGCAAAAGTGAGCTCACCTCGGCTCTACGGGAAACTCCACCGAGCGGACGCCCCTTCTGCTGCCGTAGCCGAGGAGGCGGGCAATCTGACCGGAGTTGGCGCCGCAGGCGACGACGCCCAACGCAAACTCGCAGTGCTTCACATTGCCGTCCGGCTCCCGCAGCACCACATAGTGGGCCGTCTCCGTCTGCTCGTCCGTCTCCGCGTCCCAGTGGCCGTGCATCTTGCGCGTGTTAAAGTCCAGCACGTCGGCGTGCACAAACTCCACGCCCAGGCACTGAGCCTTCGCCTTCAGGCCGAGCAGCAGCGCCCACGGGTCGAACCAGCCCTCGTTCTGGACGCCGTACGAGCCGACGACGACGCCGTCGGTGTTCACATGGGGAAACTTCTCCTTTATGCGCTCCGCTGTGTACAGCTCCACGAGGGCGCCCATTTCGATTTGCAGCTTGTGGGACTCTATGAGCTGTTCCGCCTGCGTCTCGTCGGCCAGCGTCAGGTAGCCCTGGGGAGTGAAGGAGACGTCCGGCGGCTCGCCCTTGTCGAGGATGGCGAGGTGGCGCTTGGCGTTGCGCAGAAAGTCCGCCGTGAACATCGACATCATGATGTTCTCGGGGTGCTGCCACTGCTGGCGGATGCCGCCCGCTGAGAGGGTGGTCGAGGCGCGGGTGTACTGGTAAAGGTTGGAAAAATAGAACATGAGTTCGAAATTAGAATCATTTAAAGGTCCTTACCGTCGGATCGCGCTCAAAGACGGCCACGTTCAGGCTGAAGGGCGCCTTCTCCTTGAGGAAGTAGGCGATGCTGGTGAAATGAGGGGGAAATAGTTTAAGAAATTGAAAAAATCGGCCTTTTGTTGTTTTATCTTTTTACCTGGCGCCGATAATGCCACCGCCGAAGATGGCCACGTCGACATGGTTCGGACATCCGATCTCCTCTCTGGTCTTGTGAATGCGGCCCTTCTTCAGCAGACTGAGGTCTTCCTTGACNAGGACCCTACCGTCGGATCGCGTTCAAAGACGGCCACATTCAGGCTGAAGGGCGCCTTCTCTTTAAGGAAGTAGGCGATGCTGGTGAAATGAGGGGGAAATAATTAAAAAAATTGAAAAAATCGGCCTTTTGTTGTTTTAGCTTTTTACCTGGCGCCGATGATGCCGCCGCCAAAGATGGCCACGTCGACGTGATTCGGACATCCGATCTCCTCCCTGGTCTTGTGAATGCGGCCCTTCTTCAGCAGACTGAGGTCTTCCTTGACGATTTTCAGGGCGCGCTTGAGGCCGAGGTGCTTGGTGAAGTACTGCGGGTACTTGTAGCTGTAGAAGTCGTCCGTGTACTCGGGGTCTTTCGAGGGGTCGTAGGGGACGCCGTCGGGGCCGACGATCACGTACTTACTGTCCTCTTCTTTAGAAAGTGAAGATTTTTCAGGGGATTTTTCTGAAGAGGAGAGTTTGACGGCTGATTTCTCTGTCTCATCTTTGTCGCTTTGTTTTTGACCTTTCTCCGTTGTCTTTGCATCAGCAGTTGTTGATGCTTTTTTGCTGTTTTGATCATCGTTGTCAGAGGAAGAAGAAGAAGAGAGAAACCTTTGCTGACAGGCAGTCGATCTCCTGAGCAGAACACTTCTCGCCAAGTTGAGCATCATGATGAGGGCAACAAACAAGAAACACCTTCAATCAACCGCGACTTTGTCTACTATCTGCCACAGGAGCAGCAGCAACAGACGAGCACAATCTTCATGGGCGCTCGCAACTTTCCAAGTTCAGCTTTGGTACTCTCTGGTTACAATCGATGCTGATACTGCAAGAAAAAAGATGGAGAGTAATTTAGAGAGCACCTTTATCAGCACCTCAGATACCTCATACCTTTTGGATGGCTTCCAAAATCCAGGCAATTTAGAAGGTGGTGGCAGTGGAGGTGGTGGTGGTGATAAGGATGGTNGACGCTGATACTGCAAGAAAAAAGATGGTGAGCAATTTAGAGCACCTTTATCAGCACCTCCGATATCTCACACCTCTTGGACAGTTTCCAAAACCCAAGCAATTTAGAAGGTGGTGGCAGTGGAGGTGGTGGTGGTGATAAGGATGGTTAGGTTGTTGATATTTTTTTGCCGGCCAGAAAAAACAGCCGACTTTTTGCACATGTGATTTTAATTTTTTGTTGTCATTGACAGAGGCGGCCTCCGGTGGGCGTCAATGGAACTGCAAATTGAGGAATTTTTTGGCGTTTTCTTTTTTGTCTTGTCGATTTTTTCTACTTTTCCCTTTTCTGTTCTGATAAACAACATTTGCAGAACAAAGTCTGTACAAACGGCGCCTTCTCCTCTCTTCAAACTTGTCCTCTTTTGCCCGCCGCTGTTTACTCTGTAGCGATAACAATGCCGAGCGAGTGAGGAAGATCACCACCGGGAAAAGTACCAGATCGGGTTCAGCCGCTTAGTTTGAGGTTGAGATTGCAACGTCGCAAAACTTTGGACTGTGTTTACTTTGGACTTACATCGGAACTAGAGACTACGTGACTTGTGATGCTTTAAAGATGGATTCAGTTCTAAAAGGTATGCTTTTCACCGTTTTCTTTCCTTTTACCTTTTTACTGCAAAGTTCTTCTATTTCAGAAGAAAGCGTGCTAGACTACCCAGAACACATCGACACATCAAAAAGAACATCAGTGTCTCGACTGTCTCGCCTATCAAGCACCATTGATAGTGTCGATGTGTTGGGAAAGTTTGGCAGCACCAACTCGTGGCAGTGCACGATTTGTGCCAAAGAGTGTAGGTGCAGCAAAAGATTGGTCTCAAAGTCCGAATCCATTGCGCCAGCGACAACGACTCCAAAGGCCAAACTCCAGCAGGACTGGTTTGACTGGTGCAACACAGTCTTTTGCTCAAATTCGCCTTTAGGACACCTCTACCTCTAACAGAAGAGAGATACTTATCATCAAAACTGCTGAAGAGAGGTATGAATCAGCCTTGTTTTGCTGCAGCTGAAGCAGCTGTTGCTAGCCGCAGCCATCTTGTTTTGAGGATATCCCAAGCAACAGACACAACTCTCTCCCACTTTTGGCAGCTTCTCTTCCTTGAAATCGTACGATTTCAAGCGTCGCCAGTTATCTCGTCTCATCGGCAAGTGTGTGTGTGTGTTTTGACGCCGACAACGAAGCTGTTCGCTGTGTGTTTGTTGCTGGCTGGTCTCCAAGCTTGGCACTCAAATGTGTGTGGCTGCCCCAAAGAAGACGAAGATGAAGAAGAAGAGGAGGAGGACGAAATCTATGTAGTTCAATGCTAGTGCAAGTTTTGTTTTGCTTTTTCCCTCAGTAAATGAGGCTGGTTCAAGTTTTTCTGCAGCAAAAAACGACAATTTATCCTTAGCTTTTTGGAAGACGACAGCAGCAATCGAAAGTGTCCCTCTCGTTGATGTTGAAATCCTCCTCACGAGGAGAACGAGTTCCCAGAGAGTGGCTCTGTGTACATTTCAATCCAGTCTGCACCGGCCGCCACTGTGTGCTGTTGAGTACTTTGCGAGGCACATCAAAATATGAAAGCAGCCCTTATCAGTCACTTGCAATCGAAGCAGACTCATTTTAAAAAGCTGCTTTGAAGCATGTTCTTAAGACTTTGGTTTAATCTGAGAACTGCTTCGTTCAAACTCAAACGGAATAATTTTTCTGCAAAAAGAATTTAGGTGCAAAATTATTCATTAGGAAAGAAGATGTTTTTAATGCAGAAAGATTCACACATTTTTTTCTCGCACACTGGTTCCACTGTATCACATGACAAGTGCATTAGCAGCAGCTGCTAAAAATACCATCAACACCAAAATTGTGTGTCTGGTTTTACCGAAGACTGACAGCGAAAAAAGCAGCAGCGGCAGCAAAATCGAAAGGAGAACAGGCAGTAGGATGAACTTGAAAAGCAACCAAAACAAAGCTTCATTTTTGCTTCCTTATTTCCTCTCATCAAGATTTGATAACCTCCAAAGGGTAGTTTTCCACTTCTAGACAGACAGACGTACTCGATGTTCTTCATCACCACTTTACCATCAACAAATCTGAAGGCCGAAGACTGATGTTCCGGTACTAGTACAAGTACTAGTACAGTGCCACCCTGTAGGACTGTCCTTTCTCCTTCTTCTTCTCCTTCTTCTTCTCCTCTCAATATTTGTCATCTAAACAGACCGACTACACCTCGATGGTGAACTGCTCTCGTGATGATGAGCCCCCGTATCACATCGACGGCGGCAGCTGCATCTGCCGATGCTGGCTCTGTCTGATGTGAAGAGTGACGTTCCACGAAAGCTCTTTTTTGCGCTGTTTTTCTATTTCTCTCCCACCACCACCAGCACCACCACAACTTTCTACGTGGAAGATTGCTCGCCTCTGCCTTCTGCTCTGTGGTATAAAAAGGCAAAGCGCGTTGAAGTGCGTCGCAACTGCAAACTCAATATCGAAACTTGAGTTTCTGTTTTACATCTCCTCCTTCAATCGCAGCCTCCTATGTCTTTCTCCTCAGTTGCCCGTTCAGCACGACGGACAATCAAGATGAATCCAGAGCGAAACAAGTTATAACGCCAAACTATCTCTCTCCCTCTCTACTTTTTCTATTTTCTTACCTAATCACCCTCAGCACCTCCCACCTTATCCCATCCCTCTTTCGATACTTCTCCGGTGATATCAGTCAGTACCACCTAAAAAAATTGGCCTTTAATTAGGAAAGCTCAAGACGTCCTCAAACGCAATCGTCCTCAGACGGCAGCAACCAGCATCATCAACTCTTCATAGCAAAACCATTTTAGGTTGTTCTATTTTAGCTAAACCACAAACATCCTAGGCACCCAAACCTAAACAATGTCTGAAATAGAGTCTGAAGCAAAGGGCGAGGCGCCCCTTCTAGGATACTACAACATCCGGTAAACCTCAGTTGAGCGCCCTTCACTCTTTTACCTCTCACCTCATCATTCAGGGGAAATGCGCAGCCCATTCGCCTGCTGCTGGCGTACACGAAGACGGTGTACCGCGAACGGCAGTACAACTTTGGCCGCACCGATGAGGAACGCGCCGAGTGGCTCAAGGAAAAGGTAAAAACGTTCAGTTCGAACTCATTTTTATCTTCAACCCCTTACATTTTTGCTTCTTCTTTTTCAGTTTCACCTTGGCCTGGACTTTCCCAACCTCCCCTACTGGCAAGGTTCGTAGAGGACGGACGCACACAGGGAGATGGAGTAAACAAACTTGCTAACCTTTTACCTTTCTTTGACCATTTTAGAAGGCGACCTGAAGCTGACCCAATCGCTGACTATCCTCCGTCACCTGGCGGCGAAGAACGGCTTGGCCGGCAACGGTTCCGAGGAAGAGGCTATCCGCATCGACCTGGCCGAGCAGGTGCTGCGTGAGTACCGCAACAAGTTCATCGACGCCACGCTGAGTACGAGCTTTGAGAAGGCCCGCCTCGCCTATCTCGCCCAGCTGCCTGATATGCTGCGTTCGCTGTCGACGTACCTCGGCGCCCGACCCTACTTTGCCGGCAACTCCATCACCTACGTGGACTTTATGGCTTACGAGTTCATCGACCAGCACTTCTATCTCTACGCGGAACTCTTTGCAAAGCTTTCCAACCTGAAGGCCTTTCTCCGACGGGTGGAGGCGCTGCCCACCATTCACGAGTTCCAGTACAGTCCGAAGTACATTCGCTGGCCCAGTGGCCTGCTGATTCCCTGGTACCAGGCGAAGTACTACACCACCTTCCACCGCTCCGACTCCAGTGATCGGGTGCACGAACTGGTCACCAGCATGGCCAAGTGCCAGAAGATAGTTGAAGGTGTGCCGCCGATGGGCTCGGAGACGGTGACCACCTCGGGCTAAGGAGAAGAAAAAGCCTGAAAGTCAGCCAATGACGTCTGTCTGTCAGGCAGACAGTGTTGCTATCATTTGGTGGTGATAGCAATGCGAGTGTGTGTGTGCCTCACCAACACCGACAAACCAGCCAATCTCCAAACATCACATGAACAGCCGACTAAGATTTCTTTCTTTCTTTCTTATCATCAGTACTACTACTACCACCACCACTTTGTCTATTTCATTTTTGCCTTGTGACTTGATTAGGAGTTGATGTTTTACTATTTTATTATACTATCTCTGTGTCATTGCCACCACCACCTCAGCTTCACCCGTTTCAAATAAAAAATCTATAAGCCCAAAAAGGAGTTTAAAATGAGGATTTTGGAAGAGGGGGCATAAAAACACTATCGTTTGTTGAAAAATCTGATTAATGCTGGTATTTTGTTTTTCCTCTTCTTCGCCATCGTTACCAGTAATTAAAAAGTAAAAGCAAAAGGTTAATTAGCTCATTAAAAAGAAAAAAAGTTGAGCGAAAGAATACGCTATGTAAACAANGCACTATCGTTTGTTGAAAAATCGGATTAATGCTAGTATTTTGTTTTTCCTCTTCTTCACCATCGTTACCAGTAATTAAAAAGTAAAAGCAACCGGTTAATTAGCTCATTAAAAAGAAAAACAAGTTGAGCGAAAGAATACGCTATGTAAACAAATCGCGCAAAAGACAGTTCACTGTTGGCTCACCATAAAATTATCTACGTGGTATCNACACTATCGTTTGTTGAAAAATCTGATTAATGCTGGTATTTTGTTTTTCCTCTTCTTCGCCATCGTTACCAGTAATTAAAAAGTAAAAGCAAAAGGTTAATTAGCTCATTAAAAAGAAAAAAAGTTGAGCGAAAGAATACGCTATGTAAACAAATCGCGCAAAAAACAGTGCACTGTTGGCTCACCATAAAATTATCTACGTGGTATCATCGCCGATATGTCAGTATTCTCATCTTTCACTGATCGTCAGCTCTCTCTCTCTCCCTCTCTCCTGCCAACAACATTGAGCAGCTTCGACAGCAAGAACTGATTCTTCCCGCATTCTCCATTGTGGCATCTTCCTCGTATGTTTGGTGTTCCTGATCATGGCTTCATGATGAGGGCCGAAAGGGAGCGTCTTTTGGCCGAAATGGAAAGCAGATTTCTTCGGGGTACGTATAAGCACAGCATTAAAGTGCATTTCTTTTTCTATTTCTAGTGGCCTTTCACTCTTTCTCCTTTGCAGCTGAACCATCAGTGCCACCATCGGCCCCCTCGCACTTGGAGAAGTGGACCGAAGCGGAGAAGAAGCTGAGCACCGACATGAAGGCCCTCCAATTCGAAGGCCATTTTGCCGACGTTATTTTCCACTTCGAGAACGACGGGACCTCGGTTCGGGCGCACAAGGCAATGCTCGCCGCTCGATCACCCGTCTTTGCGGACATGTTTCTCCAGGGTGGAGATGACAGCAAGAAGAAGAATGAAGAACAGAAGAAGGTTCACAAGTACGAGGACGAGGACGGCATCACCCACGTGACCATCACCTCCGAGACCGCCTCTGACGTCTTTCAGCACCTGCTGCTCTACATCTACACCGGCCAGCTGTCCGCCTGGAAGCTGGGCGTGATCGCCGCCGACCTGCTCGTTGTCGCCCACAAGGTTCCTCTTTTTTAGCCGTTTTTTTCTGCTAACAACTAAAACACTTTTTTTCCTTCAGTACAAGGTGAAGACGCTGAAGAGCCTCTGCGAGGAAGCGGTCCTTCGCGCTCTGCCCGTCGACTGCAAGACCTACACCGGTGGGGAGACGGCCGCTCTAAAGCTGGTCACTGACAGCTTCCAGCTGGCCGACGCCACTGACACCCCCAAGCTGAAGGCCAAGGCGGCGCTGGCTCTTGCCGAGTAAGTTTTTTGTGAACAATGATCTGATTGTTTTCTTTCTGAGAAAAATGAGACCTTCAATGCTAAAATCATATTTTACAGCTTCATGAAGTTGAACATTTCCCAGATAGCCAAGAAGAAGCCGGATGACATTCTCAAGATGTTTTCTCTGTTTCCGATGGGCTATTGGAAGCAGAATGACAATGGCAAGGAGAAGAAGGAGGTGGTCGAAAAGAAGGAAATAATGTTTTTTTCTATGTTAGAATAATTTGCAACTTACTTTTGTAACTTTGACTTCTAATCTATTTTCGTATTCCTGATCCCGGACACTGAACGTTTATCTTCTGATGGCTCTCTTCAAAGTTCTACGATACGTAATCACGAAATTTCCTGCACAATAACTCTGCAAACCTTTGTACAATCCAAGTTTTCTTGTTTATATAAAATCCAAATTAAAGTTTTGTTTTCAAAGATTTTTCTGTTGCCTGTTAACTTGTTTTTCTCGCGAGAGGAGGCGCCAAAATGCCGTTTTTGCGCTCAAATTCTCTGATCCATTATTCAAAAATTGTTTTAGAACGTTGAAGTTTTGAAAAACATTTTTTACTTCTTGAAAACTCTGATACCCTCAACTCACAACCACTGCTGAATGTCCCTAATGACCGCCTCAACCTTGTCGAGAAGATGAATTAGGCCTTGAATAGAAGAAATGATGAAGAGCCGAGAGAAATCGATTTTTAACTTACACTGGAATCGTAAATCACAAGTAATCACTGATTTCTACCAACTTTCTTCTTAAACTCAAAAACACACACACTAATGACACCCTTTGACCTTCACCTTGACAGCTAATCAGCAACGGACGACCTTCTTCTTCTTGAGGCTGGCTAATTACGTCAGTCCTTTCTCTCTGCTGGACAGTCAACAAAACCACCTGGGTTCGTTTATTTACAGAGTTGAGTGTGTGTGTCGCCGCTAATCGAGCCAATGTGTCACCGAAGTGTCTCCAGAAGATCAAGGCCAAAGTAGAAGAAGTAGAAACATGTCAAGTGACACTCGCTTTCAAAACTGAATGTCTACAAGAGTGACCAAGGTCAGTGCTAATTAACTTTCTGTCTTCTATGGCCTTCTGTGTTCGGTGTTTCGATCTCTGATCGATTACCTCGCCTTCTTCCCTCCCTATTTCTCTTTTTTTGCTCCCCTAATCACACTTGCCCAGTGTGTCCCCGTGGGGACCTTCTGCCCGAATGATGGGCCACCTGATGAGCTGCTAAGTGGAGATATGGAAACAGAGAAAATGGTCAATGGTCTTGTTGATGAACCAGTTTTTGCTTGTCCATACGCGTCCTTCAATGAGCAATCTTAAAACCTGACTGTTTTTCCATTGGTCACACTTATTTTCTCCTAACCTGATCTCCGTCTTCCAACGGTCTCCTTTTCTAGTGGACCTAGAAGATTGCGAGATTTTCACTTCTAACTTCAGCGTCAAAGACGGTCTTTCTCAACTAGGTCACACTTAGCTCCCTCTAACCTGTCCTGCTCAGCACAGCGGTCAGCAACAGGGATCAATATGCAAAAAAGACAGCACAGCAGCCACTGTGACCTTTTGTGTAATCGATAGTTCGAAATGGGAAAACGACGGCAGCCCTAGCAACAACCGCGGAAGTAAACAACAGCAGCAGCCGAGGCCGAGGCCGATGGCCACTTTGCTTGTACACTACCTAGCTCTCTGCTGACCAGTCAAAACAGCTCGGGTCCCGACCTCAGTTCCGCACAAAGAGCTCGTCTAGACAACGGTGATCTGTCCGCTCTCTCAGCTCCTAGGTCCTTGGACTAGTTCCCGCNCCGAGGCCGATGGCCACTTTGCTAGCACACTACCTAGCTCACTGCTGACCAGTCAAAACAGCTCGGGTCCCGACCTCAGTTCCACACAAAGAGCTCGTCTAGACAGCGGTGATCTGTCCGCTCTCTCAGCTCCTAGGTCCTTGGACTAGTTCCCGCAACTCAGCTCAGCTCGACTGTCGTGACACTACCACGACCATTTGTGAGACCATAGCTCAGCTGTGCCATTCATTCTCTCACTCCCGTCCACAGTTTCCATACCTGTTCGCCATTAACTTCCCTTCTATTCCCTTCCCTTCCCTTCTCTTTCTCTCTCACCTTCTCCGAGCTGTCATCTTATCAGCTAGTGAGCCGAGCCGAGCCGAGCACGGCCACGACAGGCACCGACCCTTTTTATGGCCTCTCTCTCGTTCATTTTATCTCATTTACCTTCTCTCCCCCCTCCCCCCCTCGTTCACTGCACCATTCAGTGCCTGTTGCTGCCGCTGCTGTTGCCCCGCAGCCTTGCACAATGCACACCTTTTCACAGTTCAATGGACAAATCAAACACAGAGTCGGTGTGTGTGTGAAGCTGAAGACTCGCTCGGCTCAGTGTGTGAATGTCGAGAGGAGCATGAAAATGTCGGGGCCTAGGCAGCTGCCGCCGCTTTTGCTGCTTTTGCATTAGGCAGGCAGTGCGGCCACTTTAGTGCTATCTTTGGGGAAGCAGAGGCAGGATAGCTCTCCCCTTGATCGAATCGAATATCTGCTCTCGGCCATCTTTAGTGCTTGCTGCTGCTGCTGGTGCACTACCTCTACTACCTCTCCACTTCGCCGACTAAATCAGGTCACGACGATGAAGACTACGAAAGACTACGGGTCTAGGGGTGAGAGAAAAATTGGCTCTCCCCACTTTATTTTTCTCTCTCTCAGGTGAAGCCCTGCTCTTTTCAGCTAAACTACAGTTCCCAGCAAGCTTTGCTGTGGTGGTGGTGGTTCTCAGTCGTCGAGGATGGGATTAGCATGGGAAGAGAAGCCGGTGTCGCCTTCTTTCCATTTCTCGCACCTTTGTTTGTTTGCTATCTCTAACTGTAACCTGCTGCTGCTGTCTTTGTCGGCTAACAGAAGCAGAACTCATTCATTTCGAGTAGTAAAGTCGAGGAGGAAGGAATCTCTCTTTGCGTAATTCAACTTTTTTCAGAAGAAGTTATATTCTCGGCCATCAATCTACCGCAAACAGGGTGTGGGGGCTCCTATCTTTTCGGATCACTTTAGACAATCTCATCAATTTTTTAGTCACTCAT